ATACTTAAAACGTCCATAATAGGTCCCGGATGTACAGACGTTAAATGGACATGTATTGGACGTCCTTAGGACGTCCTGTGCTATCTGGGTAGGTGGTCTAGGTGGTGTTAATTTTAAGTGTCACTAAGATGTGCGTTCACTTCGACATTCTATGTGTCGGTTTGTTCGTTGGCTTGGTTCTGTATAACAAAAAAAACTTCGACACAAGCTGATTGGTCTATTTCCGATAACGTACACATTTCAAATTTTATATTTAAATTGGTTTTAATTTAAAAACTTTTGACTTTAGAATTATTTAGAATAACTTATATAGCGACTAACTATTACAATATAATTTATAAAATGTGAACATGGCCCATTAATGTATTTATAAATACCATATACAAATAATTATAAACATATTAAAGGACACTATGTTGTGATGAATGTTAACATTACATTTTTTAATTGGGAAATATTTTAGCAATACCACCCCCACATAAGCCTAGCTAAAATTAAATTGTTTTATTCTGTAAACGTTCATTTAATTTATTAACACGTTCCCAATTTTATTTTAGGTAAGCACGATTAGCAAAGTAATTTTTTCAAATAAAATTTTCACATACTGTAAAAGTTGTTACAATTTTTTTACTACGAGTTTTAGTTCTACGCTCCTGATTTGTTGAGTGCTATGGATACGAAAATTCCTGCATACATACTTTATGGTCGTCAAACGCACAATTTTTCAGCCTTGAAGATGCAAGACAAATTGGTCAGTGTCTACATATACATCTAATACTACTAATTGCGGAAAGACGATACTTACATAAATAATGTCACACAGAGGAAAAACCAATTTATATGACAAAATGTTCTGACAAATAATATACCTACAATTTTAAACGTAATATAAATGTTTTTTACTTGAGTTACATTATTTTATTGTGCGAGAAAAAATTGTGTAATTGTTATGTTTTCGTCATTTTCGTAAACATTTAAAATCATCTTATCCTTGAATACAATAGATAGGTAACCATATATGGAAACTAGTTGTATTTTATTAAAAAATTATAAAAAAGTTTGTTTTAAGTTCGACAGGTTTTTCTATGGTCACTATCCAAGCCAAAATTTTATGATTTAAAATATGAACTGAGCGTTGACATTTTCTACTGTCTACCGTTATTATTTTTGATAGCTTTTCAGCTCTAGATTAGCAAACTTTTATTTATTTTGTGGGTGCTATGACACAACGTTACGCAAATCTCTAACTATATTATCAAACTGAAGTAGGAATGTTGCTTATTTTGTAATAATTTTGTATGTAGGATTTCTGCAGAATATAATTACTACATTTTTAAATATTCCTTATTCTACTGTAGAGCATTAAAGCACTGACATGACCACGGAATTAATAAAACATCAATTGTTAGCTCAGATTTCAATAACCTAGTTAAACGTAGAAAACAAGACTAGTTTATAGTAGAATAGCAATCGAGCCGGAACGGAGTAGTAAATCTGCCAGAGCAGGAAATTTCAGGTGTGGGTGCCTATATTATTATTTAAGGGTTACATAAAATCATTTAAAAATATGTGTTTTTGAATATGTATTATTGAGTATTATTTCGGAATGTAGGTACTTTACAAATTTTTTTTTTTAGTTATTTGAAATTGTTATATAAATTGTAGAGTTATCTGTTTGAGTAAATTAACAACAAGGTATATAACAAATATTTTTCAAGACCTATAAATTTGACTATAAGGCATACCTACAATAAATTGTTTATATCGTTATTCATCATTGACTTCTTGAAAATTTTTGATGTCAAGATGAAAGTTAATGACAAGTGGAGATAAAGGTTTCAGCTTAGATTATAGAAAGTAATCTGAGGGTTCAAAAATCTATAAATGTGACTATAATTGTATTAAAAACGTAAGTGGGATTATACCTAGGATTTGGTATGAAGATAAGATAGGTAGTTGCAGAGTTAATATCTTGATCAGTTCCCAATATTAGCTACCCTGTTTTATTAGCCTTCTGTATTATCAATTACAGTAAGAAGTTGTAGTTATTTTCGATTAATAGTGACTGTAGTATGGTGGTTAAAATTCAAAGTTTACACCTGCGAAACGTATAAAAAAGTGTGCGTTGTCAGTTAACGAGAAAATATTTGTAAGCAATGTTTATAATTGCCTAAGAATGAAAAATCCTTCGTTTTCTGTTGACGATACTGTTGAAAAGAAAAGTAATATGATGGGTGCAAGCAAATCAACGATATAAAAATTTATAAATGAATTACAAAGTGTAGATGTTAAACCCCCAAAGAAAAATGCAGGAGGTAAGAAAAAAGTGGAATTTACTGAACAAATTAAAAGCGGAATAAAAAGAAAATAAACACTTGCCAAGGTTTTGGACGCAATTAATAGCGATCCGTATTTTCCTAAAATGGGAAAGACAAAACTACCGGAAACTCTAATAGATTTAAAGTTCAAGTGAGATAAACAGGACAGGAAAGCAGCACTTATTGATTCTGAAAGTAATGGTTCTTATAGCCTTTTTTTGTAACACAAGTACGCCATTTATTCTATTACAATTTCCCCAACATAATATGCAGTAATTCAAAAATCGAGTGAATTTGAGCGAAATAATACATTTTTAGGATATCTACTAAAATGAAATGTCTAAGTTGCCAAAGGACATAACAGTGAGTGGCTAATTTAAATGTGATATGGTCAACATGAAAATCTCAAGAGTTAGTTAGTAGAGATTTTATCCAAGTCAGAGCAGGGCCCCTGATACCATACAACTCAAGTTTATGTAAAAGTAATTCTTGTTCAACTGTTTCGAAGGCTGGAGATAGATCAAGAAACAAAGTTAGACATTTATCATTTTTATCAAAATTTTCTAGGATATGATTTAACAATGTAAAAGTTGCATCTTGAGTAGAAAGACCTTTTTGGAAACCGAATTAATAAGGATATGAAATGCTGAACGTGTTAATATAATTTACTAGCCTGGTTTGGAATGCTTTTTCGTAGATCTTTGAAAATGCTGGTAATAATGATGATGATTTAGGATCTAAGGAAATGAACTGTTTTGAAAGGACAAATTAATTAAAATAACCGAAGGTTCCACGATATATTCCAATGCATGGAACAATAAACTATAGGAATTTCATCAATTTTGTAAGAGTTTTTTTAGATGTTGTTGTTATAATTGTTTCTACCTCGGATTTTGTTACTGGATATAAAAACAGTGAATCTCTACATGAACTTGTATCCTTCGTTTGAGTTTTATATTGTTATTTTTGATAAAAGGTCTGATATTGAGCCAGAGAAAAAATCATCAAAAGATTTAGCAATACCAGTCCGTTTTAAAATTCGTTTACCTTCATTATCTTTAAAATAGTTTAGGTAGTTATTTTTATTTCATTTTTTCCCATTTGTATTGTTATTTATTAAATTCCAGGCATCTTTTATTTTGTTGTTTGAATAAAACATTTGGGTATCATAATAATTTCTCTTTGCTGCCGTAATTTTTAGCCGATGATTTCTTTTAATAATATTGTATCCTTGCAAAATACCTTTATCACCAGAAGATTTGTAGAGATAAAGATCGTTTAAAGGGAAACCTTCATTTATAATTTCCGTAGTAGTAGATAACATAGGGTTCAGTTATAGTAATGGATTATCCAGTCTAATTGGACGAGTGCCAAAGATTTCATGGAAGAAAGAAGATATAATTAAGTGGCTAACAGACAGAAACATTAACTTTCCAGGAAAATCAATAAAAATACAACTACTAGAAATTGTGAAATTAAATAATCCTCCAGTACGTTATGTAGTGCATGAACATGCAAAAACACATGGTATTGATGTTGTGCGTCTTCCTCCTTATTACTGCAAACTAAATCCTATTGAACTAATATGGGCACAAGTTAAAGGATATGTAGGTCGACATAATACGACATTTAAGTTAAAAGATGTAGATGTAGATGTTAGAAACCTCCATATCACTTATTACAAAGAAAATTTGGCAAAACACATGTGTTAAAAGAAGAAGAAAACATGTGGAATTTGGACAAAATCTTGAATGTCGGTACTACAGTGCCACCTTTAATATTATCAGTTAATAATGACTCATCAAGTGAATAAAGTGATTTAGAGATTCGAGAGTAGGTAAGCATATCTATTATATATCTAAATGTTATAATCATATTAGTAAAAAAGGAGTAGGGTCAGGTGACGCGGCGTTGGACCACCCAATTAACGCTGCCAGAAACAAACCAACAAAAAGCTCAAAAACGTGCAAGACTTCAAAAACGCAAGCAAAACCGGAGCATGTCAAAAAAGTGGTGAAAATATTGAATTTACCAAATTCTTGATATTTTACCACCAAAAAAACACAAAAAAAATCAAAAAATTGGCCTTAGCCAACCAAAAAAAAAATATATTTCTGGAGGGGACTCAGCTAAAATAAGCACCCCGGCGGTTAAATTACAATTATTTAAGTTTAAAATAGTAACAAATAACCCCTAATTTACCCAACCGTGCGCTCATCAGTCTTAAAAGGTATTAAAATAAGGGTAGCCCATTGTTACGTTCCACAAACCGGGCGGCACAGGTAATATTCTTAATATCAACACACATTATAACATAACTGCTGGCTGTTTAAAATCACAGATTTTGTTGAAAATAATGATGAAGATAATGATAAAGATAAAGATAATAATGTAGATAATGATAAATATAACGATAAAGACGATAAAGATAATAATGAAATAATGTTGAAAATAATGATGAAGATAAAGATGAATATAAAGATGAAGATAATTATGAAGATAATTATAAAGATAATGATGAGATGTTATGAGTTTTTAAGACGTTTATTGCTTATCTAGAATAAAACGGTTTTGACAGATATCTTATATACTTTCTAGAGGTGAATTATCAGCTATTGAGGAATCAATATCAAGACGTTGACATTTTGAACTACTTCATAGTTAATGTTAAATTAGAAGTTAATGGTAAATTAGAATATACGGCTGCTAAAATTTCTAATTAAAATTTTATGCATTTCCAGTCGGTGCTGAATTATCATTGACAAGTTTTAGTGAAGTTGGTAGTAAACAATAAATTTCTGATAACTTACGTATGATAAACGATATTTATGATAATTAATCATTAACTAATTATAGTTTTTTAATAGAAAATTACACGTCTGATGGAAAATGCTAAATTATGTACTATTACAGTACTGATATGGCAAATTACTTTTAAATTGATCTAATTTCTAAATAAAAGGTTATTTTTTACATCATCAAATAAATCAATAATATTAAATTGACTTCCGGAAAGTTTAATAACTAGTTTGTGTTTATTTGGTGCATAAAAACTGCGTCAAAAGATTCATTAGAAACCACCTAGAGGACTATTAAAAAAAATAATGTTATTCTTTTTAATGTGTCTAAAGTAGTTTAAATAAAACAAATATAATAAAAAATTCTCTGAAAATGATACCCATACAATATATATTCAAATTTCATTAACACCTGTTCATCTTTACGACCAATAATGTAAATTAGCATTTATTTCAACAGGTTGTTCTACCATTTTTATCATATTTTAAAGTTTGGATGGAAAATTTTTGACTGAAAAAAAGTATATTTTAAATACAAAACTCGAGACAAAATATTTCACCCCTTTAATGCATTTTCCACATCGACCGAATTTTATTATGCTATTAGAGGAGTAAAAGAAATCATTTTTTCCATTGCTATCTTCTTATAATTATACAGGGTGATACAGAAAATTCAGTTAAAAATCCAAATTGAAACATGTCTTCGAAAGTGCATTTTTTTGACAAATACAGCTTGCTAAAAAAATAAATATACTTTCAAAAACAGAGAAATATTAAATAGCTAAGGATTTTAAAATAAATTCAAATTTTTTTAAAGAACTAAATAGTAAAATATAATGAGAATTTGAAGCCTAAAATATTTCTTTCAAGTCTATATTATGCTCAAAATCTTTTTAAATCCAGGGTGCTATGAAAGTGAAACATTACTCACTCAATTATTGAACCTAAAATCTTTTTAGCTTCTTCTGCGTATTTATTATAATTTAGTGTAAATTAAAAATAATGGATTACATTTAAATATTTTATGTCAAATACAATAAAAATAATATTTAAAAAACCCACCTATACATTTCTTCATAAATTGGCAGGCTTGGCGAGTACTACTTCGAATAAAAATAGCGTCCAAGTTACAAGACTATGTCGCTACCCCCTTAAATATACAAGAATTTCCCACTGGCACCTATTGTTTGACAGGTCGTTGGAATGCCTAATTAGATACAGTGAAATCTGTCAAATTTCCATAGCTACTCTGGATTTAAAATGAAACTGAACGCATATTATAAATCGACAGCGCGTAATTTCATTGTTTATTTCCACAAAATATTAGGCTAATCCTGTTCATATCGCTTTTCCTGCCATTTTTCATAATTCATTTTCATGGTTGAGTAAACAATAATTACACACAATTATACATGGTTTTTTTATTATTCATTAAAAACAAAATTCAGTAGTAATTACATATTGTTAAAATAATGGAATATAATATAAACAATATTAACTTTTGACGTTTATAAGTACTTTGCAAATATATTGATATTTTAGCAACTACGTTTTAATTATGAAAAAAACTATTTATCTTTTGCAGTAAGTACCCATTTAAAATATTTTTAACAGCAATTATCCATTACTAAACATTTTTCTTAGTAAAATTTTGTCATCCATTTTAATTATGCAAATTTAATACTTTTTTAATACAGGTAAAAAATTATACAGGATGTTTATTAATTATGTGTCTGATACTTAAGGGTGTGCATCTTTGGGTGATTTTAAAAAGAAAAGTTAATATCAACATATGTGTTACAATTTAAAATAAAAAATTATTATTATTATCACAATTTTCTTATCACTCCAGATATTTAAATGAAATTTTGTACCCACCTTTTAATAAATAAAGAGCATTTTTTGACGTGAAAGATTTTTTAAATTTTTACCAGTGACGTCCGTACCGGGTTTGAACTGAATATTTTTGAAGAAAAAATGGTATTCCAATGCTTTTTCTGACCACCAAAATTATCTTTGAAATTCTTATTTATTTTGGAACAAATTTCGTATGACGCATAGTTTTCGCGAAATTTGGGAGGCACCCACCATGCGTACAAACACCTTTTTTGGGGCAAAAATTAATGTTCTACCACCAGTGACGTCCCCCACTGAACATAGAAACTTACAAGTTTTTTTAAAAAAAAATCATATTTTTAAACTTGAAGCAATCTTATTTTTGTATATTTGCAAAATAAAATTAGCAGAAAATTTTCTTTCCAAAATAATACAAATTTATATCCAATTTTAAAATAAAAAGTTGCCGACACTTGCTGCAAGATTATTTTTTGCTTACAAATAACTTATTTTGATAAGTATGTGGAAAATTTATTATAATTTTACAAATTTTAGTTTTTAGTATGTTCTTGAACGAACATTTAGATATATTTTTAAACTATGACTGAGGGTAGGTACTTAAATCTATTTTTGTAACTTATGAAAATCAAAAGATCAGAAAATGTAGGTATTTTAAAACATCATACAAGTTCAATAATATAAGTTTACAAGGTACAAATTAAAGAGGCGAAGCGAGGTTTACATTCATTCTCATCTCAATATTTCGAAAGGAACGAAATAATATAACGTTTTTCACTGGAAGTGGCAGTATATTTGTGTACTTGTTTATTGATATGGAAAAGAAGAAAAGAAGAAAAGAAGAATACACTCAGAACGCACTAAACGATCGGGATAGTGTAGTAACTTTGACAGCTGACATATGCCATTCGATGTGATGACATTTGGCAAAAAAATTAGACGATGACGATAGTTTATTTAGAAAATTGAAAATAAATCTTAATGATAAAACTCGGGAAGATCAAAGAATGTAGAAAACCCACTATTTTGCCTTTTAATTGTGTCGCACTGCGGCCTGTGGCAGATATTAAAATTTGAATAGCTTCAAAAGGCTGGTAGGTATGTATTTTATTTTTTATACCATGGATGTGTATATCATACATATATTCAAATAAAATGCTTGGTCCAAGGCCCAAAGATGTTTTTAATATTGTAATTGACCTTCTTAAAAATTAATTCATCTTAATTTGTAGGTAAATTGGTTATGTGCCTACTGTAAAAAGTTGCAATTAGTCATGGTTTGGAAAGAAATATTTATTGCCTACTTATGTTGTTCGCAGGAAGAAATTTTAAAATATCAAATTTAAAATTAAATAAAGGAAATCCTTAAAAGTAATAAATTGAATTTCATATAAAACATATAGTTAAATGTTTTTAGAGGCTGTTCCCGTTCATTTTCTGGAATGACTGGTAATTTTTTCCAAAATCAGTTTAAGAAATTTAAGAAGGAACAAGTGACTAAAATAAAATATAGTAAGTTTTTCACGTTGTTTTCTTTTTTCACCTTATGAGAGGTAAATAATTTTAGTGCATTTTACAAAAAATCAATTTAAGTTTCTTCTTGTGGTTTTACCAAATTTGTTTTATAACTTTCATTCATATATATATGTATATTTATGCTGTTTTTTTTTTTGTTAAACAAGGTGTTTAATTTGTACATAAATTATTAAATTTACTTTAATAATTATAATAGAATATTTTTGTTGTTTTTTGACCATTAAAAATTTTTAGAAATTCCTTAAATATCGAGTGTCTGTTATAAACCTATGTAACATTTGAATTAGTTGAGATAATAAAATGCGGTTTTCATCACTTTTGTTCTAATTTTTATATTTATTTTCTGTGTATTCATCTTTGTGGCCATTCATCTGTGTAGCCATTTTGTTTGAAAAGCCTAATTGATGATACACAAGATTTTTCTCCTGCTCTGAATTTTAACATCTAAGAAGCTCCTCTTGCCAGAATCTTAGATGGGAATGAGAATAACATTTCGGGGTGTACTACCCAGCAGAGAATATAAAATTAAGAAAATAGGTAAAACATAGATCTGGAAAGCTTCAATAAAGCAGTTATTCTTTCATGGACATTTCCGCAACACTCGAGACTCCAAGGGCACTATATCTAGGAGAATATCAAATAGAAGAGGGAGATTTACCTAACTTGAAGCCACTTCAAATCCTACACTTCCTTGAGGAAATAGGATTGGAAGGGTCGTTATAGACATTGAGACACTTCCTCGATCCATTAGCAACAGAAGGGGATACAATAGATCTTTTAGTTCGCAGTATATTAAAACCCAATTCCCAACATAACATTCTGGAGGATGACGTCATAAAGTTCGAATTGGAAATAGCAATATCGAGGTAGGATATAGAAAATTTTATTATTGCAATTAATTAATTTAAAGAAAGAAAAGGATTGTCAGATGGAAATTTAAAAAATCAGCGGGGGAATTTTTTTGATAAAGTTATTGTTAATTACAGTTAATATTATAGTGTGCGGCAAAAGTCAGTTAACGCTATTAAAAATAATCGCGAGCGACTTTATCGCATTTACAATTAGATATATCATGCTCAGTGGGGGGGGGGGGGCAAATATTTAGTGTTTAGTATACTCATGTCGTTTATTCGAGTTACATTGCGATGATGGCAGCGCAGCTCCGTATACAGTACAACACATCCGAACGCGTATGCCTCTTGTCAGTTTACCTACCTTACATGCTCTTCTAAATGAACAGTTGTTTGGCGATTGGATAGGGAGAAAAGGCAGAATCGAATGATCCGCGCGGTCGCCAGACTTGACGCCGTATTAGTCGTCGTGAGGGGAGTACCTAAAAATAAAGTCTTTGGAATATACTGCATTTACGAGACAGGATTGAAAACGAATTTGAAGCTGTTCGTGCCAACGCAGAAATCTGTAGGAGAACCTGTTTTTCCGTGTATAAGCCAAGAATGTATTGATGAAGGTGTGGTCAATACTTTGAACATAAACAATAAGGCATGGACTTTTTGTATTTTTTTCTAAGTCTTTTAATAATAAACCATGTTTTTGTATGCCGTCATTGTTTTTATTAATATGTGGTTGACTGACTTTTGCCGCACCCTGTATGTTAAATTGCTAAATTGAGGAGGATAAAGGAAATTGATAGCAATAATCGAAAATTTTATTAAAAAAGTTAAAAGACAGATCCAGAGATAAAGCACCAGCAGAGACCCAGATATATAGATTAAAACAGTAAAAACAAGAAAAGAGCAGAGAATGGCAAAAACAAGCAGACATGTAGAGGCGGCAGAGACAGACATAGGCAGACAAAGGCAAAGACAATAGCGTCGAGCACACAGGTATAGACGGCAGAAATAGGCAAAGATGGTAGAGACAGGTAGAGATGAACCAGCAGAGGTGGATAAGCAGAGGAAGAAAACAAAGAAATTATCGTGTTTTGTTATTTTTTTTGTAATCAATTTTTATATAATATTTTAGATCATTGAGCCAACCCCGAAATTGAGATCTTTGTTTTATTAGTTATATTCAAAAAGCCACAAAGGTTTCCATATCAATAAATATTGGGTAGTATTTAATTTTTAATCATGAAACTATAGAGTGATGAATGGGATTGTATTCTGCATTTTTCAGGGGATATTTTAAATTTAGGTGACGTCAGCATTTAGCGTACCGCCCCATCTTAATGTTTTTAATTCCTCTTTTCAAGAATCCTCAAAAAAGTACCACATTACCAATGTAATACCCTTTTTCGCTACCCTGTAAGTATAGGAAGAAACAGTAATGCAATACAATTCCATAATTATACAGGGTGGCTCACGCTCAACGGGACGGAGCTTTATGGGAAAACGACCAAAGATATAAAAAATTCGTTTGGGAGGAATACGTAGGTTACAGACGGCTACAATTTAAAATTTGTTAGATGTATACAGGATGTCCCACATAAGAGAAAATATACAAAGTTATATTATTTTTAATGGAACACCCTGTTTTTTATTTTAGAATTAAAAACTACATCAAAAATAATGTCAGTTAACTAAAGGTTCCCTATTACTATTATTATTAGTTTTCGATTTATTTGAATTTTTAAGGAAAAAAAGTCTCCCAGAAATTAATTGTTTACTCTTGTTTGAATAATTTTTAATGAACTAATTTTTTTTTCTTGTGTGGGACATCCTGTATACATCTAACAAATTTTAAATTGTAGCCGTCTGTAACCTACGTATTCCTCCCAAACAAATTTTTTATATCTTTGGTCGTTTTCCCATAAAGCTCCGTTCCGTTGAGCGTGAGCCACCCTGTATATTCATTCGTTTCAAAGAAAATAACCATTCCAGACTTTTTCGCTACCCGCGTATGTATACGGAAACCGATAAAACGTCGCACGCAACATCAGTTATATCCGTGAATACAATTAGTCCAGGAACAAGTGATTTTTTTTTTTACTTATTTGTGATTCTGACTAAACCTTTTGGATGGGGTAACTCGATAAAAAAAAGACCAGTCCATTTTTATTTTTCCAGTAATAAATGTTTGACATTGATTAAAGTGAATCATTTTATTAATGGAAATAACAGTCTAGCATATCCTAACCGGAGAAAAGTCAGTCTGGCTAAAAATTTGCGGATCAAAAAATTTGCCTATTTTTGAAATCCGTAACCCTTATTTTCCAATGCTTGAAATTTTACGTATTATTTGACACTGTCTTAAACTATAATAAAAAGTAAGTCTGGCTGATTTACGAAATTGCTAAATGAGTCAGGAGGCATCTTGAAAATTGTCAAAATTACAAAATGTTTGCTCTTATTTTCCCGGATTTAAAAATTTGTCACATGATAAATAATAATACTATAATTTCATAGAAAATATACGTCTAGTTGTCATTTGCAATCACGAATGCATTGCCAGACTTACAAGTGAGATAGTTGAATGAGGAGAGGATGAGACAGGTGCGTATTTAGGTAACGACGCTGGAATGCGAGTACCTGAGAACAGCTGCCTGGGCTCTGGTCTCTTATATTCCTATCTTTCTCAGTTACCACGTGACTATATATAGTATGCGCACTTTTCTATGCGATATTATCGAAGGACAACTGCCCCAGCCCTCACAGCATCAAGCGACAGTGTGACCCTAGTATGAAGAAAGCCAAAAACGTCAAAGAAGCAAGATTCGCTATATTCACCAAAGTATATGCAGACTTTTCACTACAGAGAAGTTCTTCAAGCCAATCGTCAACAACTTTGACGGTTCTGCTATACCACCTTGTCAATCAGAATTACACCAACAGATCTTACGGGTTTCATACATTTCAGACATTTAGAGAAACGCTCATTCCAAGTACCTATTCAACGATTGTATCAACCGTTGATAATGGATGGCAAGAGGTGGATGGACAATATGAATTTCGATGGTTTGAAGGTGAGCAGCTGCCTACGTTTGACAACGAAGTTGTCATCCAACCAGGAGAAGGTAAATATTTTCTGTTTCAAATATAGCTTCAACGTCAATTTGAGGTAGAATTGCATTTTTTAAATATGTTGATTCGTGTGTTCGCAGGCGAATCTGATGTTTTGGAGGTTGAAAAGAGCATCGATGATATTGATGATGATAGATATGAGAAAGATGACGCTGATAACGTGTATTGCGAAGATAATGATGGCGATGACGAAGAAGAAATTGATGAAGTTGAAGAAGAATTTGTTTGATATGTCACTGTAGTTTAATTTTTCAGAATTATTTTTATTTTTTTGCAATTTTATTTTTCATTATTCTGATGTTTGCACGTGTATTTTTTAAAGTTCGATGTTAAATAAAAATTTGTTTCTGCGATTTTCATTTAAATTTATGATTTCGTAAATTAATATTTTTTTAATCTGCCCAATAAGAATTCGGTATTCTATACACTCACTACAGTGCATTTGCTTACTTTGATTTTTTAGGCAGCTGAAAGTGATGTTCCTCGTGTTTTAGCGAAATGTCTACCTGCTCGTTCATCCGTCATTAATATCGTTGTTGGAAATTTAATTATTTAGATTACTGCTTCTTAATCTTGTTCGTATATTTTGTATAGTTCGCCTGAATGCAAGAAAAATTTTATTTTTTTTTATTTTCACTATATCTCACAAATTATACGAGATATTCAAAAATGTCGAGAGATCTTTTTTGTAGCGAAATAAATTTTCTACAAAAAACGAGAGATTTTACTTAAAAAAAGTTTATTGGAATCCTGGAATCTCAAAACGTAGAGAAAAGTGTTTTTTAGCCATAGTGAAATGTTGCCCTAAACCAATACTTTTCTTATCATAAATTATGAAAAGTAAAAACATGTAAAGATGACAACAATCACTTGTATAATTAAACATGCCGAATTTAGCGCGCCTGACGAGTGTTGGACGAGTCTGGCAAGACCTTGGGGGGTGTTCCACATTGGCCAGACTATATTTGCAGCTTGAATTATAATATAAACTATCCTTCACGGGGGTTTATATCATATGCACAATACGTAAACACGTTTTTGCGCATGCAACTCCGCGCTTGCACATTGAATAATTTAATAACATCCCGTTCAGTAACACACAAAAAGTGTTGTTTTAAAAATTAATATATTACAAGAAATTAAAAAAAAACAAGCCTTCACTTAGTTATTTGTACTATGTGAAGATGCGTCCGCTGCATGACTGCTGGCTGTCAACAAATAACATCAAAATCCAACAAATGTGTGGTTATGTTATAGTGGTTATAGTTTTGGTTGTCGACGAAAACATGTGAGTGAAACTACTTTTATTTATTTATTTATTTATTTTAGATATAAGTTATTTAGGATTATTTAAAATCAAGTAAAGGTTTTTTGATTATATAACATGGCTTTACCAGGCAGAATTCATTATAAACGCATAATTTCTAATTATAGTACATTTTATAAGTCCCCTTTCAAACGTAAATTTAAAAAAAAAACATTTTTAAATTTCCTTCTGATATTGATCAAAGAAAGGAATGGTGTCGTATTTTAAACATTCCACTCATTCCACTTACAACCAATCATACATTATGTGAAAATCATATTTTGATTGAAAATCGTTTACAAACACAAATCGTTCAAGACTGCTAAAAGATTTGCTTTGCCTTACTTAGTAATATTGTTATCACACCTCCAAACAGAGTACCTGTGAAGATAAAGTTAATTTTATTAATATAAACAAATTTATTAAATGAAGCAGAATTTGAGTCAGGCCACTAGTTATGTTGCAGGGTTTATTAAGAAACTTAATAGTGTTGACTTCAAATAGTGTAAAGTTAATTTACAGACATGTTAGGAAACCATCGATACTAGAAAATAATGATAAGAGACGTTTGATTTATGTACAAAGAAATGTTACTGAATTTCTTTCAAAAATTCATGAAATTGTTTTACCACTTTTGGGTCATATTGACAACATAATTCAGAAAATTAAACTTTTTTGCCAGACCATGTTGATTTTAAATGGTTTACATCAGAGGCGACTCGTGGCCTAGTCTACGAGGAGGCTACTTATTAATTATATACTTAATAAAAATAAAACATGTTTCTATAAGAATACAGAAAGCAGAAATATTGCATTGTATTCTACTAGAAATATATATTTGTATAAAGTATATAGGGTGTGCCAGCCTCCTCGCAGACTAGGCCACAAGCCGTCTCTGGTTTACATGTAGAGAATATAAAACAGACGTCTTTTCTCATTTAGTTAAAACTTGTCTACCATTAATAATAAGAAAGTATTATAATGATAGTATGAGGGCTGCGGCAATGTCTAAAAAATGATTTGAAGTTACTGCATTTAATTTTTCAGATCTGATTAGATCAATTTGAACAGCAAAATGTAGGTAAAGTTTCTACACTGAAAGCTCCTACCATTATGTCAATCATCTTACGAGTTGGTGACTACTAAATGACTTTCAGCAGACACAGTCCGATTGTTATTTTTATTTAAAGGTGTGTAAGATTATGTTTTAGAAAAATCAAAATAATTTTAATCCTAATCAGTTTCCACATTATAAAAGTCAGTGTGCAACTGTTCTAATCTAATCTAACCTAATTAATTTTTGAGGTCTACAAAAAATTTCCTCCGGTAGTTCATTAACTTGCACTTACTTTAATAATTAAAAAATTATATCGGAAAATTATCTTTTTTTTTTATCAGAAATCAGCGCTTTTATTTGCATTCGATAATCTCAGATTGACTTATCTTAGTTTATTTTTAACCCTATATCGAATTATTTTTCTCAATGGTATCTCAAGTTCTTTAAAATTATCTTATTAATGCAGGAATGTGTATTTAACATTCTTCATGCAGTTATTCTCTAATTTGCATATTTCTTCTTATTGTCAATTTTTTCAATAAATTTTATTTTGCTAAAACATAAAACATAAAAAAACACTAGTATAAATTGATTTTTTATTTGTTTCGTAATTATTTATGAGAAAAAATCATTAATTGCACGTTTCCAAATTGATAATAAATATAAAAATAAAAATTACATTTACACGTTTATGTTTATGTTCACATTAAAAGAATACTAATCTTGAAAAGTTTTATTACTAACTGGAATTTGGTTACTTATCATAATCTCTCAACATAAAACAGTTGTTATTTTTTTGTCAGGATTATAAATCTGATAAAAATTAAATCGACAACCTGTTTTACTTTAGAAGGCAAATAAAGTCGTCTCGGTCACTGATGGTCCTTAAGCAAAGATATATAACCAAGACAGATATGATTGTTTATGAAATTTCTGAAACCAGAATTTACTTCACATTCTATGCGTTTTTGGCAGCAATGCAATGATGTCTGACAACAGCGCAACGGGAAATATCGAATAGTTTATAAATATAGTAAACCCATTTCTTTCTTATTTATCTTCGAAAAATGTCACAACCATTTCTGTTTTGTGAAGTGTGTTTTTGAGTTTTCGTAAGTTGGTTTTGTAGATTATAATTATTGGAGTCATATGCGTAACAAAAACAAATTGAAATATTTAGTTATTTAAAAAAAAAGTAGGTATATACAATAAATTATTTGTTGATTTTTTAGTTAACTATTTACTTTAAAAAATTACTGAAAATACGAGTAATTCATGACAGTCACTACACAATAGCATATGTAGATGACCTGGTCATTCTGCAAACAGGGAATTTTGAGAACATAATCTGCGAAAGAATGCAAGTAGCTCTAAAAGTTATAGAACAGTGGGGCAAGGACCATTTACTGTCTATCAATCCTAAGAAGACAGAAATGGTCCTTTTTGACAAGGAAAAGGATGAAAGTGGAATTAAAACCTCCAGAACTCCTAAACACAAAACTAAACTTTGCAAGTACCTACGTAGGTCTCACCTTTGACATCAAGTTAACATGGAACTTGCATTTATAAAACAGTTAAAAGAGCATACATGGCTTATGAACAATGCCGCCGAACCGTGGGGCTCACCTGGGGTTTTTCCCCAGAGTCGTCGCATGCTAACATATGGTGCAGTTGTCTGGGTACCGAAAACCTAAATTTTAACAGCTATCCGTAAACTAGAACAAATTCAAAGAATAGCATGTCTTAACATAACAGGAGCCATGAAAACAACACCGACCAGAGCCATGGAAGTAATTCTCAGTCTCACTCCCCTTGACATTTACATCAAGGAGGTTGCTCTGACGGCAATGACGTGCCTCCGCACGGTTGAAATAGGACCTGATGTAGGATCTAGTGAGGCGAGACGTCGCTTTTGGCAACAGGCGCTCGATACGCTCCCACTGCATCAAGCGAACATAGACTCCATGTCACCGAGATATATCTTCCATAAGCCATATAAAGTTATAATAGAATAAATAGAAGAGCCAGAAGGGGCCGGTACGATTCATATCTACACCGACATTTCTAAAACAAAACAAGGCTCAGGATGTGGAATATACTCCAGATTCTTAAACCTAAACATAAAATGGGCTGTGAGCAATAGTGCCAGTGTAGTTCAAACAGAGCAAATGGGGATTCTCATAGCAGCAAAAGAAATAACCAGAAACAATATCACTGAAAGGAACATGCTCATCTATACAGATAGCAGACAAGCACTACTTACCCCGAACAGACCACGAATTTACTCAGTTTTAGTACTAGAATGTCACGAAGCTTTGGCTGAAGTATCCATCAACAATGTGGTCACCTTAAGATGGACCAAAGGTCACGCCACATCGAAAGGTTGTTGATTAACAAGTCAAGAAAGCAGCCAACCAAATACTTTTTGGACCTGGCCCTTCTATTGGCCTGACAAAATCGGTAGTGACAGATCTAATTATAGAAGATTCTCTTGTAAAATTCAAGGAAAGATGGGATGAAACAAGAAACTGCTGAGTTGCCAGAGAGCTCCTAAGTTATCCTGACAACACTGCAGCAAACAAATACTTGACTATGACTAGACAGAATCTGCGCCTAGTCACAGGAATTCTGACTGGTCAATGCCAAGTACGGAAACATCTCCATATCATGGAGCTGTCAGAATCCGCACTCTGCAGAGGGCGCGAACAAGAAGATAAGACCACCAAGCATTTCCTTTATGATTGCTCAAAACTCTCATTTATTAGAAGATTTTTTTTCGGCGAGTATCGGCTAACACTGGCCGATATAAGAGAAGCGCCTCTTGGCGACGTTGTCAACTACATTATATCTGTAGACTGACTCACGA